TGTGGGGCAGGTGGCCCAGGCCGTGGCTCTGGCTGGCGGGGAGCGGGCTGAGGATGTTGTAGGGCACGTAGCCCTGCTGGCCGGAGCGGTTCTGGACCTTCCACCACTTCTTGGAGTTGTCCAGCACCTGGAGGGAGAGACACTGAGCCACAGGCGGGGGGCCCTGGACTGCGAGCTTCCTCCCAGCAGTGCCCCAGATGGGGACCCCGATACTGCAAGCTTCCCCCCAACAGTGTCCCTAGATGGGGACCCAATACTGGGAACTTCCTCCCAGCAGTGCCCCAGATGGGGACCCCAATCCTGTGAGCTTCCTCCCAACAGTGCCCCAGACGGCCAGACAGGGACCCAATGCTGTGAACTTCCTCTCAACAGTGCCACAGCATTGTGAGCTTCTCCCCCCCTACCGCACACACACACACACACACCCCAATGTCTGCAGACAAACTCCTACTGCTGTGAGCTTCCCTTTAGCAGTGCCCTGCCCCCAGCAGTCAGAACCTGGAGAGGGACTCACCTTACCGCACACACACACACACACACCAATGTCCGCAGACAAACTCCTACTGTGAGCTTCCCCTCAGCAGTGCCCTGCCCCCAGCAGTCAGAACCTGGAGAGGGACTCACCTCCAGAGTCTCCCCCTGCAGCACAGACATCTCATTGTTGTTCCTGGCTACAAAGTCATAGGTGCAGCTCACAAACTGGCCTTCTGTTGGGTGTTGATGGCTGGGGGGGAAGAAGGGAGCAAAACTGGGTTAGGGGGAGCGGGATCTAGTGGTTAGAGCAGAGAAGGGTTGGGAGGCAGGACTCCTGGGTTCTCCCCCCAGCTCTGGGAAGGGAGTGAGGTCTAGTGGTTAGAGCAGAGAAGGGCTGAGAGGCAGGACTCCTGGGTTCTCCCCCCAGCTCTGGGAAGGGAGTGAGGTCTAGTGGTTAGAGCAGAGAAGGGCTGAGAGGCAGGACTCCTTCGCCCCTTAGTCCCTCCCTGCCCCATTTCCTCAGGTGCAGAACTCCCCCCCTCCAGCCGTACACATGCAGCGAAGTTTGGAGCGTCCGCGCCGCACCGGGGCCCAAGGGGTTGCACCAGGCAAGCGGGGGGGACAGGGAGGGGACCCCCACCAGCCCAACCCCCG